CCCTCTCCTTCCTTCCTTCCTTCCTTCCTTCCTTCCTTCCTTCCTTCCTTCCTTCCTTCCTTCCCCCCTCCCTCCCCATTTTCCCTCCCTCCCTATTCCTTCCCTTCTCCCCCTCCCTTCCTTCCCCTTCTATCTCTCTCCTTCCTTTTATACCTTCTACCTCCCTCCCTCCCTCCCTCTCGCTCCCTATTTTCCTCCCTCCCTCCCTCCTTTTCCTTCAAACAACCATTGGCTCCTTTCAAAAATAAAGAGGTGAGGAAGGTTATTTCATGAGGAATCAGGGAGCCGACTTTGAAAAATTGCCTTTGTGTTTTTTGTTTGTTTTTGAACGGAGCATTTAATAGTATTAAAAAGTCCTATCCTTTAGTTCCCCTTCCTTCCTTCCTTCCTTCCTTCCTTCCTTCCTTCCTTCCTTCCTTCCTTCCTTCCTTCCCTCCCTCCCTCCTTCCTTCCTTCCTTCCTTCCTTCTTTTTTAAATCTTCCCTGGATGAAGGAACTTTAGTTGAAAGGCATCCAGGTTGCTGTTGTCTGTTTTGTTTCCCCATTGTGTCTGAAGAAGGGCTGGCCAAACCCTTCAGCTTTTCATGTCTCCTTTGCTTGAAACATTGTTCAGAGGTTTGCCTGCCAGCCTAAATTTCTCACTGCAATTTGCAAATCCGCCTTCCAAGGCGAGGTGAACGAATTCTCATGCAGCTGCAAAGCTTATTTGGTACATAGGCAGTCCTCGATATATGTCGGCTCATTGAAGTGACCAAAGTTACAACAGCACTGAAAAAAAAAGAGGGACCGATTTTCACACGCCTGTTTTAACATCACATGATCAAAATCTGTCCACGTGCAACTGGCATGTATCCATGCCGGTTGCGGTGCCTCAGGGTCATGGGGTCACCGTTAATAAACTTCCCATCCAGCTTCTGGCGAGCAGATTCACTTAATGACTGGATGATTCGCTTAATAGTGGCATTCTGCTTAACAGCCGTGGGGGAGAAAATGCTGTAAAATGGGATAAAACGCAGCAAGGCCTGATAGAGACTTCAGGGTTATAGGTACGAAGACGTGGCGTCTTGGCAGTAGTGAAATTCAAATTTTCTTACTACCGGTTCTGTGGGTGTGGCTTTGTGGCTGTGACGTGGCTTTGTGGGCGTGGCAGGGGAAGGATACTGTAAAATCTCCATTTCCTCCCCACTCCAGGGAAAGGATACTGCAAAATCTCCANAAGAAGCAACGGATGGAAACTAATCAAGGAGAGATGCAACCTGGAATTAAGGAGGAATTTCCTGACAGTGAGAACAATTAATCTTTAACTTCAATCAGAATAGAGTTAGAAGACACCTTGGAGGTCATCTGGTCCAACCCCCTGCTCAAGCAGGAGCTCCTATTCCGTTTCAGACAAGTGGGCTGTCCAATCTCTTCTTAAAAACCTCCAGTGATGGAGCCCCCACACCTTCTGGTGGCAAGGTGTTCCACTGGTTAATTGTCCTCACTTGTAGGAAGTTTGTCCTTAATTCCAGGTTGCTTCTCTCCTTGATTAGTTTCCATCCATTGTTGCTTGTCCTGCCTTAAGGTGCTTTGAAGAATCAGTTGACCCCTTCCTCTTTGTAGCAGCCCCTCAAATACTGGAGAAGTATGAGGCTTTAGGCACCCGAGGTGAAAAAGGTTCGCTGTCATAGAGTCCCCTGATTGAGCAGGGGGTTGGACTAGAAGACCTACAAGGTCCCTTCCAACTCTGATATTCTGTTATTTCTGACTTTCCTCCCTCGTTAACTCAAGACTTCCTGATTTCCTTGAACGGCCCGTGGCTTTTAAAGAAAATTGCACAGCCAATTTCTCAAGGTTCCTTTGCTGGAACTGTAAGGGCGCGCCAACGATTGACATCAATGTTTTTGGTCTTTTCAAAACAGAACAACAAAGAAAACGCCTCACTTCCTAGCGATTTGCCTGCTAACGACAAGCAACGCTTTGTCTGTTTTGTTGTGTGTTTTTGTGTTTGTATGTCTGTGTGTTTTTTTTATACACAGACTCTTGACGGGGTCATTAGAGAGAAAGATTTGAGGCTGCAGGAATGGTCGACTAAATTCCAAAACCTGGAGAAAAATAAAGAGAGTCTTGAGAGACAGAACGAAGCCTTGATCGAAGAGAAATGCGCAGCCCAATCCGAGCAGCTGGTGACCAAAATGATGCACGAATTAGAGGTAAAACCTGCTCTGTTTGACTGAACCTTCTCCCAATTATATATTTAAAAAAAAATTCCTGGGAAATCTGTGCCCTAGAATGCATTGAAAGGCTCTTTTAAAGTTGCCAGACTCTGCCCCACAAGGGATTATGGGGTGGTTAAATGAAGATGACGATGATGATGATGATTTTGTTATCCAACTAGGGAGTTGTGCGGTGGCCTAGTGATGGAGCTCTACTCCTCACGATCAGGAGGCTGTGAGTTCAATCTTATTTTCAGTCTTATTTTCTTTTGACCCCCGAAATAAGCACTTGGCCTTGTTTTCGGGGAGGTCTTATTATTTTTGAGGTGCAGGAGGCGGCGAGCGTGGTCACCTCATGGCTGCTGCTGTGTTGCAATATTTTTGACGACGGCTTATTTTCGGGGGAGGGCTTATTGTAGCACATGCGCTCAAAAGCCCGATTGGGCTTATTATCCAGGGAGGCCTTATTTTCAGGGAAACAAGGCTAGTCACAAATAGAATAATTGTCAGGGTTCCAGATGGGTGGATGGATGGGAGTGGATGGATGTGGGTGGCAGAGAAAGAAATCTAGGATCCAACTCACAGCCTCCGGATGGTGAGACGACACCGCCACCTCTAGGCCACCGCACCTCTCCCCAGTTGGATAATGAAATCATCGTCATCTTCGTTTAATAACCCCATAATCCCTTGTGGTGCGGAGTCTGGGCAACTGAATGGAACTGAGAATTTACTGGCTGAATGCCCTTCCTGTCTCCAATGCAGAGTTCGCAGCAGATATATTCTCATTGTGCCCAGAGAGAGAACTATCTGTCTCTACCTAGGATTGAACTCACAGCCTCCTGATTGGGAGGTAGGAGCTCCACCACTAGGCCACTGCACCACTCCCTAGTTGGATAACAAAATCATCATCATCGTCGTCATCTTCATTTAACCCCATAATCCCTTGTGGGGCAGAGTCTGGGCAACTGAATGATTACTGGCCAGATGCTTTTCTTGTTGCCAATGAGGAGTTTTGTTCAGCCGATAAATTCTCATTGTGCCCAGAGAGAGAAATACCTGCCTCTACCTGGGATCGAACTCCCAGCCCTCTGATTGTGAGGCGAGGGCTCCCCCTCTAGGCCACCGCACCACTAGTTTTGCTTAAGATAAACAGGCTACTTTTTCTTTTCAGAGGATCAAGGAATCCGAATACTCCGAGATGCTTGAAACTCTCCGAAAAGAGCACACTATTTTTGCGTCTTTGATCAGATCTCTGAAAGATGCCGACGGGTGAGTAGTAGTATGTCTACTACTATGCCTCAAAGTTAACAAGTGGTCCCAGAGCCCTTTGGGGGTGGCAGCACACAAACTCCTACACAAAGCCGCAGTTACACAAACAACAGCTGGAAAAGGAGATGAAATTCCTCAGCTAACCTCATTTGCACGACATCCTCCCCAAACTTGGTGGAGATCCTGGTGTTTGTGCCAAAATGTCTCCTTGGGATCATGAATGGAAGTGTTGAGGTTTCCAAACATATCCATTTGGCCTTTAGGTGGGGGAAGAAGGGGTGGACCAGAGTGGGATGGGGAAGAGGAGGGAGAGGAGGAGGAAGAGGAAGAGAATGGGAAGGAGAGGAGGAGGAGGAGGAGCTGCTTCTGCTTTTTATTTCTCTGTTCAGAAACAACCCCTTGTTACAAGAAATAGATCGATGAATGTAAAAGTGCTGCAAATTAAAATTATAAAGGAGAACCAGGAGGAGGAGGAGGAGGAAAAAGAAAAGGGGAAGAAGAGAAGGAGGAGAAGGGGAAGAGGGAGGTAGAGGGAGGAGAGAAGGAGAAGGGGAGGAGGAGGTGAAAGAGGAAGAGGAGGAAAAGGAGAAGGAGGAAGAGGAGGAGAAAAGGAAAAGAGGAAGAGGAGGAGGAGGAGGATAAGGGGAAAGGGAAGAGGAGGGAGAGGAGAAAGGGAGGAGGAAGAGGAAAAGGGGAAGAGGAGAAGGAGAAGAAGGGGAAGAGGGAGGTAGAGGAGGAGAGAAGGGGAAGGGTAGGAGGAGGAGAAGGAAGAGAAGGAGGAAGAGGAGGAGGAGGGCAGAGACGTACCTTTTGCCTTCAGTGTTGTTGAGGTCACTGAATGAAAATCATAACGGTCCTCAATGTGGTGCTGAGCTTAAGGGGGGCAGCAGTTCAGAGATTCCTTCTTGGTCCTTTGCGGAGGACGGGAGGTGCCTCAAGGGGGGGGGACTAAATCTTGGATCCAGCTCTCCCCCCCCCCCCCCAAGCATCCCTCCTGCCAAGTACTGAATCCCAGCTGTGTCACCTTTAATCAAGTAATGCCCTTCATTAAGGAAATGATGGTGCAGCCTTCTGGCATTTATGCATTTATTCCTTTTCCAAGCAGGGCTTAATTCTGAGATCTGCCTTCCCTCCTCCCTCCTCATTTTTTCCTTCCTTCTTCCTCCCTCCTTTTTTTCCTTCCTTCCTTCCTCCCTCCCTCCCTCCCTTCCTTCCTTCCCCTTTTATCTCTTTCCTTCCTTTCATACCTTCTCTCCCTATTTTTCCTTCCTTCCTTCCTTCCTTCCTTCCTTCCTCCCTCCCTCCCTCCCTTCCTTCCTTCCCCTTTTATCTCTTTCCTTCCTTTCATACCTTCTCTCCC